TACAAATACATATAATGATACAAAGAATATTAAATCTTAACATTCAGATGAAACCAGAACTTTTTTTATTGGGACTTATGGATAGCCAATTAGAAAGGACCCATGGATGACTGGTTTTATATATTGTAACTGCAGTGAAACTGCTATCTGCGTAAAAATACTGAAATACCCCCAATGGGGAGTGGATTGTGAAGATGATGGAATTTGCAGAAATGGCAAAATGGACCTGTGTGATCAGGGATAAGACACCAAGTACTTTTATTAAAGACTGGAAACCTCTTGTGGATTTGCTGAAAATGGAAAAAAGCGAATTGGTGATTTATGGATTTGTGGATTAAAAAGGGTTGAATATGGGAAGAGGTGAATTATGATGCAACTTTAATGAGGGAGGAGAGAGGATAAGTTTGTTTGTAACTACTGTAAAGAACATCGGAAGTGGCTTCTTTATTGATAGGCACAATGTCGTGTGTGTGTTTAGGAAGTGAGTTTTTGAGCAAGAAATTGCATTTTTCTACTTTGGGAACAGGCGTTAAAATCAAAGCTCTCCGCTCACTAGTAGCTTTAAAGCTGGGATAAAGTAGCTATCAAAAGCCTGTCAAGCAAGACTTTCTGAAGAACGTGTAGCAGTTGCTCAGAGATAAGGGAACAGAGAAGGCTTTGATTTCATACGTTGTATTTTAAAGTTTATTTCCTTTTCAGAACCACTGCCTTTGATATACCCACCAATGATGGAACTAAGAATTTTACATGCAGAGCAAATCTTTAGCAACCTATTGCTTTTCCTGAAGGTTAGCAGCGTTACCCACTCAGGCCAGGGTTGGTGATTTTGAATCTTCCTTCTGGACATTCCAAATTGGCAGAAATTGAGAGAACTGTAGGCCACTTTTAAACTCCTTTTGGGGGAATGGAAACTGGCAGAATTCTGAGGTTTCTAGTCTCTTGACAATCTTCACTGCCCTTCTCTGAATATGTTTCAGTTCGCCTGACTCCTTAAAATGGTTTCCTTCAAGCCAACACAATCCTCACATTTAAAAATGGGCCAAGACATTGTGAAACATTTTTTTCACCACTGTCAATCCAACACAGATGGGAATTCATGATGGAAAGAAGTGTGTTTGTTCAATTACATTCCTATTTTTGTCTGAAAAATGTTGAACAAGATGCAATTTTACAACATGGGGGGTGGCTGCATTCTCTTATTGTGACCAAGCTGATGGAGTTGGATTTCTGCTTCTTCCAAACAAAGACGAGAATGACACGATCTGATTGAGCTTAATGAAGCTCTGTATTTTATGGGGCTGCCTCACACAGCAAAATATCTTCCATCATGAGCAAACAAGCTTCCTGGACAGAGTTGTCTATGTGACTGAAGCCCCCCACCCCAACTTTTGTTATGTGTTGCTTGTGCTGATCTCTTGGTTACAGCCACCATCTTGACTTTTTGGACCCCCGTTTCTTGGGACGTCTAGGAGTTAATGATTGTCACTGGGAAGGTAGAAGGAGTAAATACTGGATTGAACAAGCAGCCTTACAGTCTTAGTCCCCTTGAGACACTTTGAAGAATACCTCCCACACCCCTCTTGTAGCTTTTATTATAAGTATCTCCTGAAATTAAATGAAATTTCACACCTTCTCCCATAATTAAAAATGTGGACTTCGTTTGGAGTCAGCATTTTATTTGCTGAAATAGAGTATGTGGTTTTCTCAAATTCGGATGGTTGCATTCTTTTGGGTGCTGTTCTAAACTCAGGCGATTCTTGCTGAGAAGTTCTAGCGGGGTTGAACAACCTATTGATAGGCACTTAACTTTTTTTTTTAGAAGGGGAGAGGCACAATAGGAAGGGCAATAATGTAAAGATGGGTAGGCTTGTTGGCTTCCAGTATTTAACACTTAAATAAGCATGATGATATAGCTCCAGATTTGGAAGACTGAATCCTCCTTCATTAATTGGTAATTGCATTTTCTGTAAACATATTCTTGGAAGAACCCTATCAAAATTTTCTAAACAAAGAATTTATTTTCTGAAAATATTTGCAACTGCTGAACTCTTTTACTGGTGTAGTCAGTGAGAGGGACAACAAAAATGTCATAAAAACTCCAAATAAAAAATATCTCAACTATCTTGCAGCAGTAACCAGTCTTGGAACCAGCCATCCCCTTAGTACTTCACAGTCTTCCTACGTATCTGTAGGGAGGGAGATATCTTGACTTGGAGGAGCAGAGGGAAGCTGTTCCACAGTGAGGGAGCCATGACAGGGAAGACCTGCCTCTTGCCCTTTGCCATCCTGATGTTTTGGGGGCGGTATTCACAGCATGTCCTCTTGGCCCTTTTGTGATTAGCAGATTCTACTTGGAGTACAGTCTTGAATAAAACTAGGAATCAAACCATAAAGGAGTTTGTAGAAGATAACCAGCACCTTAAATTAGACCTGGAAACAGACCGGGAGCCATGATTGGTGTTATTCTGCAATAATGGCTTTTGTGGTGCTCAAGCTGCAACAGGGTTCATAATTGGTTGTTTTAGATTCAGAGAAAATGACTATACAAGCAGAGCAAGTGCTAGAAAGATTAGCTAAGTGTTTGAAAATTAAGCCTTGCTGAATAAGTCCAATATAGAATAAAGAATCTTACACCCCTTTTGTTGGTCAAGAACCCCAGATACAACAGTGGACATACCTCTGGAGCCACCATATGAGTAGCACTTTCCTGGGACTTCAGTTTCTGATGACTTCATTCTTTGAAGGCAATTTAGAGGTTTCTGTACCCTTATTCTAATTAATCATGCTTCTTGATAACCTACTTGTTAATTACCCAGATATACTCACCAAGCTAGCAGTATCACCAAAGCAAGATATGAGAACATTCTTGTCCTCTTTTCTCCAGGTAGTCAGTTAGCCAAGAACATCTGAAACTTAAAATAAATTATCTGAAAGACCACCCAATGAGCACCTTGATCAGAAAGAGTGCTCCTGAAAACTTAAGCGGAAAAGGAAATTTAGGTCTAGAGTCAAAGTTCATGAATATAGAAGAGAAAAGGGGTGTGTACACATCAGTAAGCCTCCTGACCTTGTCTTCTACAGTGCCCCTACAGCGTTCATCTCTTAACAGGAAGGCAGTTGTATTTTTCATGAGTTGTAACTTCCAAGTCTTCTACGAGGGAGACTCACTAAGAGCCAATTACACTTCAAACATGAAGTGACAAGGCATGAAACACTGTTGTCAGAAAAACTGGAATTGGGGTACCAACCAAAGTGGCAAAGGGTCGCCTGGCAACAACACCCACCTGCTCATCCAGCATGAGCCACAAGTCTAGTGAACCCCCAGATTGCATACCTGCTCCTTTAGGGCAACCTCACCTAGAACAATATATGGAACCAGAGAGCTTCTGAACAAACAACAGCTCTGTTTTTTTGGATTTCAAAGTTAGCCTGTTTCTCCAATCCAGCCTCACAGCTTCCAAATACCAGGCCAGGACTTCTATCACATCTCCTGCTTGGCCTGGAGTGGGAGAGACAGCACCTGGGAATTATACATATATTGGTGGAAACTCACCATGGACAGATGACTTCCCCTAGTGGTTTCAGGTAAATGTAAAAGAGAATGGGGAGTGTGCCAAGCCTGAGTCACTCCACAATGGAGTGGCCAAGGACTTGACCTCAACTTCAACCCTCACCAACTGGAATTGCGCACTCAGAGCCAGCTACTCTGTTCTGCCCCACCTCACATCACTGCTGCTTTCATGGCATGGGAAGGAAATCATACCAAGTTCGTTTCCGAGCCGGGAATAAATGCACAGGCAGTTGCTTGAAACAGAGATAAACATTTATTTCTGAGATCGTAGCGCACAGAATCCAATCTCGGAGGTGGCCACGAGCAAGAATCCCCAAAGAGCCCTGTATATAGGGGCCTGGAAGAGCCCCTTGCCTGATATCCTACAGCAGTGGTGTGCTGTGAGGGCCCCTGGGGCTCCTCCCCTCAGGGGTCCACAAAATCAAAATTATTTGCCAGCCTCTGGGAGAAATTGTCAAAAAATAATACAATACTAAAATCCCATCGAAAAGGCACAAATAATTTCAAGGGGTAGGGGCACACAGCAAACGTTAGAGAGCAAATGGCTAACGAGTTGCTGCCTCAACCACAGAGTGATCGACTGCTGACATCACACACACCCCCTCCTGTTTCGCCACCTGGTTTTAAGGACACCATTGTAGGGGTGCTTGGGGTGCACATCCGCATTTTTCAGAAAGTAACTGTTCCTACTGCCTCTTTTGTGCTGTCGCTGCGACGAGCTATCTTCAGTTATACTTGCAATCTTTATAACCTTGTTACCATCCAGGAAATCATTATTTTGAAATCCCCAAATTGTGTTCACATAAAAATACAATGAGAAGGACGTATACTTTGTCATCGTATTCTGCAATAATAGTTTAGTGATTTTTTGGAAAACATTTCTAAATATTTAAATGTTATATTACAAATATTTTAGAATTCATTTCTATGTGTTTTATGCTAAAAGAAAATTGATTTAAAATGTTTTTCTTTATAGATTTAAGGATGGATCACTGGCTTAAAAAAGGCGGACAAGAGGGCTTACTTTCTCAAACTAAAGTTACACCACATACGTCTAAAGATGCTAAAAAAATGGAAATCAACATATCACAGACTTTTTGGAGTCATAAAAAGGAGGAATTGGAGGCACGCCCATGGGATCACCACTCTCGGGACTCATAGCAGAGATTGTAATGCAACACCTAGAAACTACAGCACTTCCATCCATACAACCCAGAGTATGGATCCAGTATGTAGATGACACCTTTGTTAAAATAAAAAAAAGGAACAACTGGAGAAGACACATGAAACTATCAACAACATCTTCAAAGGAATAAAATCCACCAGAGAGGAAGAAAACAACAACACGCCACCCTTCCTGGATATCCTCATCAGCAGAGGAAACAGCAAATTGGAAACTCAAGTCTATCAGAAAACAACCCACACTTACCAAGTGCTCCATGGTCGAAGCAACAACCCCACCTCCCACAAGAGGAGCCGTGCAAGAACATTATTCAAACGAGCGCAAACGCACTGCAGCAACCCAGAACAGCAGAAAAAGGAAACAGACCACCTATACAACACCTTCCAACAAAATGGATATCCATGCAACTTTATCAAAAAGTGCCTGACTACAACACAACAACCTACTACAACACAACCAACACAAGCTATGAAAAGGATAACACTGCCATACATCAGAAATGTCTCAGAAACTACCAATGGGCTATTACAACACATGGCATCTCCATAGCACACAAACCAACTA